TTTGAATTAATTATGAGTGAATTAATCAGTAGGCAAAATTATTTGCAAGCAAAATTAATTAAAGTTTTGAGAAAGGTAAAAACTAAGGCTATTTATACATTCGAGAAGGCTATGTCTACTAATAATAAAGTGATTGATGGTGATAATAAATGACCAATAATATGAATATTTGGACAATCGATTGATAAGACTTAACATGTCTCTATTTGGTAATCGTTGTAATATGTCCCGATTTGGTAATCGTCGAATGATGATCGTCTCGGCTGACGGTGTGATCCGTCTGTTCGTCACACCGATGATCGTCGGCGTCGTCTCCGCTGATCCCCGTCGCCATTTAATTCGCCGTGTGACCCAATTACCCATATGTTGTATCACCTTACACCTTTATTATATATATACACCACAGACGATTTTTTGGGATATGCAGTAATTTTCTTTCAAATGATAGCCTTGCCAAATGAATGTCTTATTGAAATATTTAATAACCTTAGAGGTTATTATAGGTTTTTATTTTACTGCCTTCTTGTAAACCGTCAATGGTGCAGAAATATAGTTCCAATATTATGGAATAAGCCAGATTTTAAAGATAAAAGAATTATAAGAATATGTCTTTTATCATTAAATGAAAAAGAAAAAGAATCATTAATTCCATTTGAAATAATACCTTCAAATGTTCCAACTCCATTATTTGATTACATTTCTCATACTACATCATTCTGTTGTAGTAATTTAGAAGAAGGCATCGTAAATTGGCTTTGTAGCGAAAACAAAGAACCTCGTAACTTTAATAATTTTTTTCAAACAAGTAGAGAATTCATATATTTGATTCATCCAATTGAATATTCTATAATTACAATGTTATTAAGAACATGCCAAAATTTGAAATCTTTAAATTTAAATAGATTTATTAATAGTCAAATTGCAAAAATGTTGGTAGAAATTCTTTATAAACCCATTTTTATTACATCCTTAGATATTTCTCGTATCGAACTTATTTTTAAAGAAGTAGAATCATTAGCAGTTTTTCTTTGCAAAAATACTTACTTGGTCTCATTAAAACTTTCTTATTGTGATCTTGGTTCTAAAAAAACGAAAATATTGGCAGAAGCACTTTATGAGAATACTACATTGTCCACCTTAAACCTTTCTAATAATAGACTTGGTTATGAAGGCGCAGAATTAATTGCAAATGCACTTTGTAGAAACACTACTCTAACTTCATTAAATCTTGGAAATAATAAGCTTGGCCCACAAGGAGGCAAGGCACTAGCAGAAGCTCTTTGCAAAAACACTACTCTTACTTCTATGAAACTTTATTGTAATAATCTCGATTTTAGGGGATTAAAAGAAATAGCGGAAGCACTTTACAAAAACACTTGTTTAACTTTTCTAGATATTGGAGAAAATAATATTGGTTCGGAAGGTGCAAAAATTATGGCCAAGGTTTTTTGTAAAAACTTCTCTTTAATTTCTTTGAAGATTTATAAAAATCGACTCGGCATTGAAGGAGGTAGAGCGTTGGCAGAAGCTCTTTGTAAAAACATCACTTTAACTTCTTTAGATATTAGTAACAATCAACTTGGCCCTGAAGGAAGCAAGGTAATAGCAAAAGCTCTTTGCAAAAATACTACTTTAACTTCTTTGATTATTGATGAAAATCAATTTTATTCTGGAGAAGTAGAATCGTTAGCAGAAGCTCTTTACAAAAATGACATTTTAACTTCATTGAACCTAAATCGTAATCAAATTACTTTTAATGGAGTAAAAGCATTATCGGAAGCACTTTATAAAAATACGACTTTGACTTCTTTAGGTCTTTGTGGTATTCAATTTAGTTTTGAAAAAGTAAAAGCATTAGCAGATGCACTCTGTAAGAACACTACTTTAATTAATCTAGATCTTTCAAATAATAACCTTACCTTTAAGGAAGGACAAGTATTAGCAGAAGCTCTTGGTAAAAACATTAAATTAATATATTTGAATCTTAGTAGTAATAAACTTGGTTATAAGGGGTTAGAAATATTAGCACAAGCTCTACGTAATAATACTACTTTAATTGATTTAATAATTTATGACAATCAACTTAGTTATGAAGAATACAAAACATTAGGAAGGGTTTTTCACAGAAACAACGCCTCAATTATATTAGGTTTCAATTATCCTTATGATGAGTAACTTTTTTTTATTATATAACTAATTAAATATTTAAATTTCATTGTAATGTGAAAAGCAAAAAGATTGTCCAAATTTATGTATATGTCGTGCCCCAAATGACAATTTTCCCAGATGACAATCTGGCCAAAATTATAAATTAATTAGCCCAGACGTTAAGGTTAGATTTGGGCAATTTTAATTTGGGCTGTCCCAATTGGCAATCGGGACAGGATTATCATTTGGGGTACAACATATATATTCATTGTGTCAAATAAACAATTCGCTAACTATAATAAAATCAAAAGTTAAAATAACATTCTATTTTGTTATGTATCTAAAAATTAATAATCGAATTAATTTTTTGGACTGCTTCTCTTATCTGCTATTCTCATCGTATAAACAGGAAAATTGGACTTAATAAATCTAATAAATTTGTAATGTTATTGAGAGAATTCTTGATGGCTTCTTTTAACGAGCTATTTGCGTACTGTATCTGCAATAATTGCTTATTTTATTGACAATCATCGGGTACTGCATTATCATTAGCTATCAATATGTTATAAATTTACTCGATTAAAATTATTCATAAATTGTAGAATTTATTTATATAAAACATTAAAATGTTTATATCGATAATAAGTAGGCATATCCAATAGTTTTTGAGCCTTTTTATCATTTTTAGGAGTTCCTACACCTTTTTGATAACAAAAAGCAAGATTGTTTTTACCTAATTCACTTCCTCCGTTAACTGATTCCAAATAATATTGAAAAGCTTGTTGCTTATTTTTAGGAATTCCTATACCATTTAGATGACATTCGGCAAGATGGACTAAGCCTAAAGTATTTCCATTTTTTGCAGATTTTGTATACCAATCGAAAGCTAACTTATTACTTTCATAAATACCTTCACCATATTGATAACAATAACCAACTATAGTTTGTGCTTTTGCGTTTCCTCTTTTAGCAGATTCTAAATACCATTCAAATGAGCGAAATTTGTTTTGAATAACACCCTCACCATCATCATAACAATCTCCAACATAACACATTCCTAATATAGAACCCTTAGAAACCGATTTTAGAAATAATCTAAATGCTTTGAGTTGATTAACTTCAATTCCTTTTCCATATTTATATAATAAACCTAGAGAAATTAATCCAATACGTTGATTTTCTTTTAATAAATTGTTTAATAAATTATCTTGTTCATTTAAAGGGACACAAATCTCTTTAACCGCTTTACTATACATATCATATGCCATGTAGTGATTAACATCTGTCCCAATTCCATATTCATAAAAAAATCCAATAATGCTCGTATAATAATGTTTATACTTATGGTTACAATATTGCTTGAGAATTTCATTTGGTTTTTTATAATGATTACTTATATACCTTTCTATATAATAAATTATTGAGCATGTAGTATTTCCAGAGATTCCTTGTTTATCGAACTGGGTTATAAATAATTGATTTAAATCATAAAGCCTTAATCCACCATGATCATATTTTATATTTAAAGCAGGTAGTGAAGTTATATCTAGTATACTCTCTTGATTATTTTCATTTTCTTCTTTAAGGGTTTCAATAAATGATAGGGATGATGTTGGTGAGGGTGTTATTCATATGCTTTAGGAGTTCCGAAAACAGTAGTCTCCCGTTGTTTGTCAGTTACTATTGCTTTTAGTAGACTAGAATCATCAAAAAATTTTGATTTAAATGGAATAATACGACTTGAAATTTCCCAAAGAAGAACTCCAATGCTGTATATATCTGAGCTTTTATTAAGATTATAAGTTTTAGGACTTTGTAAATATTGTGGATCTATATATTGAGTGAATTTTGATTCGTTTAAAAATTTATTCTGGTATTTAAGGACGTCAATTTTAATATCTCCTTTATGAACAAATATGTTTTCAGAATTCTAATAATTAAAAATAATCGTTTAGTATCATAATTTATATCATTTAATATTATAATTTATGAAATAAATGCATTTACCAAATTCATATGAATAATATCATTTTCGTGCAAGCATTTTACAGCACTAACAAGCTGTTTTGCAAGATGTAATCTTTCATTCCAATCAATAGTGCAAAAATTTTGCTCTAAATATTGACGAAGAGTTCCATCACATGCATATTCATGAAAGAAGGTGATTTCATTTTCAACATACTTAAAGATGCCTATAAATTTTAAAATACTTTCATGTAATTCTACTTTTTGGTATTGTTTTAACTAAATAA